GCCCTAAGAACTGGGGCTCTGGATCAGCACCTTCTACGGGATCTTTCTTGTCCATTCCCAGGGATCACCGTGGCCCCAGGGCACCTCAGGCTCCTCTGGGCAGCCTGGCCTCCAGTCGCTGGGTGCCCTTGTCCTCTGTGTCTGTCCCTAGCCTTGGCATTTGGTGTTCCCAGGGTCTGACACTTCAGTAGATGCTCCCTGAGTAAGTGGGTTCATGAAGAAGTTCATGGTCTCACTGGGGTCTCGACGGGTTTGCCCCCGGCGGTTCCTGCAGGAGTCGTGTGAGCTGCCCTGTCCGCAAGAGAAAGACAGTGGCCAGATCCTCTCATCTCTGCTGTGGAGACTGAAGCCTGGACACTCCTGTGCACCCTGGGGCCTTGTGCTTTTCTAATCAATGGGCAGCAATTGTAATTACAGGCTCGCAGCCCAGGGTGGGCATTAACTCCAGGGTGGGGTGTTAGCTCCCAGAGTGCCGTGTTGATTCCAAAGTGAGGTGTTGATCCCCAGGATGGGATGTTGGCTTCCTGAATAGGGTGTTGGATCTCAGGGTAGAGTGTTGACTCCCAGGTGAGATGTTGGCTCCAGGGTGGGGTGTTGACTCTAGGGTAAGGTGTTAGCTCCAATGTAGGGTGTAGGCTCCCAGAGTGGGGTGTTGGCTCCAATGTGGGGTGTTGACTCCAGGGTAGGGTGTTGGCTCCCAGTTTAGAGTGTTGGTTCCCAGGAGGGGCATTAACTCCCATAGTGGGGTTTTGACTCCAATGTTGGATGTTGGCTCTCAACGTGGGGTGACTGTGCCAGGTGTAGGTGCAAGTTGACCATGAAAGACTGGGACTGGGAGGGCAGGGTCAGATCTGTGTGAAAGGATCGCTCAGTGGCTTCTTGGTGGGAGAGTTGGAGCGAGATCCCAGTAAGTTCACTGCTGCAAGGATCCCAGGGAGCTATCGGGGTGGGACACTGGGGGACCCAGAGGCTTTGGCTTGCAGGAGGCAGACACAGATGACCACCAGGGTACACTGAGCTTTGAGGAGTTCTGTGCCTTCTACAAGATGATGTCCACCCGCCGGGACCTCTATCTGCTCATGCTGACCTACAGCGACCACAAGGACTACCTGGACGCCGCTGACCTCCAGCGCTTCCTGGAGGTGGAGCAAAAGGTGAGGGGACGACAGCAGGAGCAGGGTCCTGGTGTACATGGCTTCACCTTTGGCTCCCAGGGCACTTGAACCAGTTCACTGTGACTGAGAATCCTTCAGTCTGGAAGGATGGGCCACAGCCTGACACTCAGGGTCCTCAAACCTGCCTCCACATAGTGAACGTGCTTTGATTCCCATCATGGGCCATCCCGGCATATTTCAGGGTGTGTCCCCTGGAAGCCCTGAGTGGGTGGCTCCTCGGTGGGCCTCTGAGCGGCTCAGCCATGACCACAGATACCCTGAGGCTCCTCAAGGGACCCTGCACTTGACCACAGCACCTTTAGCATGGAGCACCTCATAGAACTGGGGTTCCATGACCCAACCTTCCCACCTGTTCCAGCCACGGGTCTGACTAGCTTGTACCCCCCGAGCCCCAGGCCCATTACCGCCACCTTTGACCCATTTGTCCAGCAGATGCCCAGATGCCTCCAAGTGCCAGGGGGGCTACCCACCCATTTCTCTTGACTCTAGGCCTTCTTGTCTATACCAAGAGGCCTACTGCTTCCTGGGCACTGCCCTGCTGACTGGGGGCCCAGTGTCCGGAGGCTCAGGGATGTGGGCCCCTCAACCTTGGCCCAGGCAGGGGCTGGGTGTCACCTGCTGTGGTGGGCGGGAGGCTGGAAATCCATAGTGGGAGAGGGGAAGGCCAGTGTCCCCTGAGGAAAGAGTGTCCCCGTGGTGGGGCCCAGGCAGTGTATATCTCCCACCCTAAGGGCTGGTGGGAGGTGGCCGTGAGGACCAGCGTCCACACTTATAACTTCCTGGGATCCTCAGGGACCCAGTTTGGGGCAGAGAGTGGGAGGGGCAGTCAGCCTTAGGTTAGAGGCCACGGGCAGAGGCTGCTGGGCAGGGCCGGGGGCTGGGTGGCTGGAGCAGCTGTGACACCCAGGCTGGGTCTACACGTAGCTACCCAGGATCTGCCCCCGCCCCCCACCGCGGCTGTCCTGGTTGGTGTCTGCCCCACCTTACCCCACGCGGCCGTCCTCGGGGCTGTGCTCCCAGGACCCCTCCCCGCTGCTCACACAGTTTGCTGGGGTTCCATCCTCGTGGAAGTGTGCCTGCCTCCTCTCCTGTCCTCCTAGGGGAAGCCCTGGGGTCTGACTCAGGCAGGAGAGGCTGGCACCAGCCTGGCTGGATGCTGATGCCCCGGGCAACTCATCCCCAGCCCAGCCACTGTGGGCAGCATTGGGATGAGGCCGTGGGTTCTCTGTCCCTGTTGCCGGTGTATGTGGGGGTGGAGGGTGGGAAAGCGGCCCTGTCTGGGAAGGGCAGTACTGACTCATTATTCCCTACCCTTTGCCCTAAGCTTTCCAGAAGCTTTTCCCTATATCTGGGGCCAAAGCTGTCCACCAGGTGGGTGGTTTGAGCCCGGACCCAGCCCCCAGACTCTGGGCCTCCCAAGGTCCACAACTACTCTGGGCTCTGACCCCATTTGCTCCGCTTCCCCGCTATCACCTGATATCCCTCCCCCACCCCCGCCTACACGGGACTTCCTAGAAGCCCTGCTGAACTTGCTTCCGGGAACTGAGGGCTCTCGGCCTGGGCTGCATGGCAGGGCCCTGGGAGACCACTCAGCCTCTGACCAGGGCAGGGTGGTGGGGGTGGGGGGCGGCATCGATGCCCAGAGCCGCTTGGGCTCGGCTTCCGTGTGCAGCTTTCCCGAGATGGATGTGGGTTAGGCAGCAGGGGGAGCCAGGTAGGGGAGGCTCCCCGTGCCCCTGGGGCTCCTCCAAGGTGGGACTGGTTCTCCTGCACCTTCTCACACATAGGGTTCCCTGCCAGGCCTGCCCTGGTCTACAGCTCTTGAGACCCCGACATGGTGGGAATGAGGGGTGGGCCAGCTGATGGGACCAAAGACCCCTCCCCTGCATCAAGGATCCTGTCCGACACAGCTCTTCCAAAGCCATGTGATCCACCAGTAGTCCTCCGGCCACTGAGTCCCAAGTCTCACGACACTGAGGGTAGCCGGTGTGCCGCCCAGTCAGGGAAGCACCCTGCAGGCGTCCGAGCCTCCCCCTGACGCCCACCGTGGGCAGTCTTGATGCGACAATCAGAGGCAGCCTGGGAGGCGGC